GGCATCGTGTGCTCTGCACATCACGCCCTGTGCAGCCTGTGGTGTCCGACCTCAGGTCATCCATCCTACAGCTGAAATATCCATCCTCTTTCTCTGATAATTATTAATGACTTTTTTTGTGGGGAGCAACCCGGACTAGACTGAGTTACTGGAATTAAGACTTATTCTATGCATCTGCTCTCCCACAATATGGCGCTGGGAGAGGAGAAAACAGCTTCTACACAGCTGCCTCCAGTTCAACCAATAAACTGTAGGACCTGCTCCTGATTGGAGAGCAGCGTACTCGGCGTGTGGGCAGCCGAGTTAGGATTGGCGGAGGAGGACTATAAAGGAGGAGAGAGACGGCATGCACCAGGAACATCTAAGGGGAACATCTAGCTGAAGGAACACCTGTGCAGCCCCCGAGAAGAGCCGGCCGGCGGTGTGCCGCTCCCCTGCGGAAGTGGGGAATGTGGCCAGGGGGAACTGCCCTTCCACGGAGGTGGAAGGGATAGTAGCCAACCCGGGAAGAACCAGCAGCAAACCCGGGGAGGGCCGAGCAGACGAAAGAACAGCGCAGGGTCCTGTGTCGTTCCTCCACGAAGAGGGGGAGCGACATAATGGTGCCGTGACTCGGATATGAAGCCTAGGCAGGGCTTAGTGTCGTTCCTCCCCGAAGAGGGGGAGCGACATAATGGTGCCGTGACTCGGATAGGAAACCTAGGATGGATAGGAAACTTAGGAGGGAAGAAACGGGAAGAACTGGGAAAATATCAGAGAGAGAGACTAGCAAACAGCCTAGGGAAAATATCGGAGAGAGAGACTAGCAAACAGCCTAGGGAAAAGCCGGACGAAAAGGGTGCCGGAAGAAGCTATTGAAAGCCTAGGCATAGACTCAGATACGGACTGTGGGGAGAGGCCAGGAGAAATGAGGGAGGAGTATTGTTGGAAGAAAGCTTGGGGAAATATACCGGGTAGAGAAAAATGTTAGGGAAATTGAAGCCGCGGGGGGCAGGCCGAAGCGGATACGAAAGCCACTTTGGGATTCTCAAGTTAGCCCGGGAATAGGGGGCGAAAAGTTGAAACCAGAAGCTGAAACGTAAGCCAGATTGGGATCCGTCTGATTAGCCCGGGGAGCAAAGGACGGGAAGCCAAACCGTGGGGCGGAAACGTGAGCTGGGTTGAATTCGCCAGGCTAGCCCGGGGAACTTAGATTGAATGCTAGTGGCGGACACGTAAGCTACGCTGTGTGACTCGCGGAAGCCGCCGCGTGCAGAGAGAGCACGGGGCGTGAATAGATAGGGAACGGGGCTGGCGTGAGGCCGTGGTGCAGACGCGAAGGGCGTGGAGACCGCGGAGCGCGCGAAGCCAAGCCGCGCAAAGCCGGGAAGCTGCGCAGATGAGAGAGGCGCGGGCTGAAGCGGCTCAGCCGGGAAGCCGCCGAGAAGCAGCCTCGGGGCGGGCAGCGGGAAGCTGCGGGGATAAGAGAAACAGAAGTTTAGAAGTAAAAGAGAAATAGGAATGCTGGAAGATAGAAGTAAAATGGGAGAAATGGGAATGCCCGGAGATAGAGAAATAGAGAAATAGAAAGGCCTCCCTACAACACTGCAATGTGAGAGCTTGGATTCGGTCTGCCTGATTAAGTGAGGCGATGAGCACGATGAGCACCTGCGGCAGCTAGCAGCTTATGCGCCGCAGGTCACCGAAGACAGGCACGAATTAACATCAGTAAGGCCTCCCCACAAAAAGGCAATGAGAAGGCTTGGATTCGTTTTGCCTGATAGGGCTTGTAAGCCCCTGCAGGCAGAGCAGAGCATGCGCTGCAGGGCACCGAACACAGGCACGCATCAGCGCCTAAAAACCTCCTCACAACATGGCGAAGAGAGGACCCGGATTCGGTTTTGCCTGATTTGATAGGACTTGTAAGAGCCTGTGGCAACTCTAGCAAGTAGAGCAGAGTGTGTGCCGCGGGACACCGAAGACAGGCGCGTATCAACGCCAAAAAATAAAAAGAAAGGGGGATCTGTGGGGAGCAACCCGGACTAGACTGAGTTACTGGAATTAAGACTTATTCTATGCATCTGCTCTCCCACAATATGGCGCTGGGAGAGGAGAAAACAGCTTCTACACAGCTGCCTCCAGTTCAACCAATAAACTGTAGGACCTGCTCCTGATTGGAGAGCAGCGTACTCGGCGTGTGGGCAGCCGAGTTAGGATTGGCGGAGGAGGACTATAAAGGAGGAGAGAGACGGCATGCACCAGGAACATCTAAGGGGAACATCTAGCTGAAGGAACACCTGTGCAGCCCCCGAGAAGAGCCGGCCGGCGGTGTGCCGCTCCCCTGCGGAAGTGGGGAATGTGGCCAGGGGGAACTGCCCTTCCACGGAGGTGGAAGGGATAGTAGCCAACCCGGGAAGAACCAGCAGCAAACCCGGGGAGGGCCGAGCAGACGAAAGAACAGCGCAGGGTCCTGTGTCGTTCCTCCACGAAGAGGGGGAGCGACATTTTTTCTTTAAAAGGAAGAATGTCAGAGAGAAAGCGTATGTGTGTGAGGTCTTCCATCCACTGGTTCATTTCCCAAATGCTTACAACAGCCAGAGCTGGGCCAGGCCAAAGCCAGGAGTCAGGAACTTCATCCTTATCTCCCACATGGGAGGTAAGGTCCCAAAAACTTAGGCCATCATTCATTCACTGCCCTCACAGGCTCAGTAGCAGGAAGCTGGATTGGAAGCGAAGCAGCTGGGAACAAACCAGCATTCAGGTAAGGGAGACATGGGACATTGCAAGCATGCCGGCAATGCAAGCATCAGCTTTTTTTTTTTTTTTTTTTTTTTTTTTTTTTTAAGATTTATATATCAATTTGAAAGTCAGAGTTACACAGAGAGAAGAGGCAGAGAGAGGTCTATCCATCCAATAGTTCACTCCCCAACTGGCTGCAACAGCCAGAGCTGCGCTGATCCGAAGCCAGGAACCAGGAGCTTCTTCCGGGTCTCCCAATGCAGGTGCAGGGGCCCAAGCCACAGCAGAGAGCTGGATCAGAAGTGGAGCAGTCGGGTCTCGAACCGGCACCCATATGGGATGCTGGTGCTTCAGGCCAGGGTGTTAACCAACTGCACCACAGTGCTGGCCCCAAGCATCGGCTTTATATGCTGTGCCACAATGCCGCCCATCCTATGCCTCTTAAATGCTAAACTTGAGTCTCCCCTAGACTGAAAGGAATCTCTCTTTACTGACCTGTTCCAGGTCATGCTCCCACAGAGACTACGCATCAACATTTCATTAACTGAGGAGTTCGGCACAGAGTAGTTGCCCAGGAACTGCTGAATTAACAGGAGTGAGTGAGTGACCGAAAAAGCTAGGCACTCACTAAGTACTTGAATAAATGAATTGGTATATAAGGGAAAATGTGTTGTCTTATATAGCTGAAAAATCCAGGGCAAGAGCTAAAAGTATAAATAAATAAATAGATAGGGGGATGGATATATAGGTTAAGTAATAAACAAACCCCTTCTCTCCCAGCAGTTTGGGAAGCGGACCAGAGCAATTCCTTGGGTCACAGAGTGTGCACAGACCTGACTTTCCAGAGGCGGAGTCATATTAGAGTAGACGTGACCCTGACCACTTCCAGGCACTTGTAGCATTCCCGAGTCTCTGAGGGAGGCAGGTGAGCGCTACCAGGCCCCCATGGAACAGCTAGAGTGTCCTTAAAGAGAAACTGGGGGCTTTTTCCTGTTACAGATTAACTTCCTGGCAAATTGCAGCATGCTTGCCACAGCTGGAGGTGGATGAGAAATCCTGTTTTTAAAGCCCTTAGAGACCTTGAGTGTAATTGAATGAGCATTTTATCCCATCCCAAAAGAAGCAAAAAAAAAAATCAACCACCCGGTTTCTGAACTTCTAAGGACCTGGAGCCTCCTTCCTCTGACTTGGTAAGGAGCCGAGTGATTTCTTCCCCTTAGGGGCCAGTAAAGCAAGCCGCACCCAGCCTCAAAGCCTCACCACCAGCCTAGAACTCTTCTGAGGATGGCCATCCTGAGCAGCTCTTACCAGGCACAGTCCTGTATCTGCAGGGGAAAATTCCATCAGGAGGGAGGAGAGAGAAAAACAGTTATTCACACACACTCACACTCACACACAATTGCAAGCAGTTCCCTGGAGTTCGGCCTATCCTCAGTAAGCTGGAGAGAGAGACCTCAAACTTCCTGCTCCCCAGCTGCAAGCCCAGGCATGTGTCCTGGCCCACTGAAAGCTTGCACCCCGGGGGACAGAGCAGGGCTCTGGGCCAGCTGATGAGGCCTGGCTTCTCCCGCTCCTTTCTTGGAAAAACACTGGGCTCTGCTGAAGCAAAAGGAACCTTTGGTGGTTCATTTTCAGTCCAAACTGCTTGATGTCTTGCCCCTCCTTCTCCTATACCAGCAATGCTGCCCCTGTTCCTCGGGTTTTTATAACCAGGGAGAGGGTCCCTGGCAGGAGTTTATTGCTCCCGCCTCCCTCCCTGCCTCCGCTTCTTTCTTCCCCACCACCAGAATAAAAGTAAAAGTCTTTCAAGTGCATCACCTGCCCCACAATGGGCCAACTCCCAGTGGGTTCTGACCATGTGCAAAGCGACATGCAATGCAGTTGGGGAAGACCCTCTGCTTTAAAAAGTGCACAAGTTCAGAAGCCACACTGCTTAGGTTGGGACCTGGCTGCCTCTCTCTCCGGCTGGCCATAGCAGCCGGGCGACTTACTTTGCTTCCTCATCTATCGCACAGGAACAGGTTGTGCCTTAAACCATCCCTGTCCGGTTCTGAGCACCACACCTGGCACCAAGCAAGGGCTCTTCTGCAGTCTTCTCCAGCATCCCAGCTATACCCTCCCCTGCCGGAAGCCCTCCTCTCCCACCCCCAATCCTGTCTTTCAAATGTGTTCTGTCATCATTTATTTGCAAACATGTCTATTTGATTTCAAATGAAAATGCTTTGGAGTCGAATTAACAACAAAACACATGCAGGGGGGAGAAAGAAAGGCTGACAGACATGTTAGTAAACAGTGAAATATTTTTGAAGGCTGGATGCAGATAGCTCAGATGCTAGAGGGTTCAAATTCACAGGCTTTGGATGGGAGGAGACATGTGCATATTAGTACAGTGACATGTTTCTGGGGAATTAAAGAACCCAGAATGTGAATCTCTCCTCCCTCCCTCCCTCCCTCCCACCAGCACTCCAACGCTCCACTTGCTGTGTGACCAAGGCCTTGCTGCTCTCCACTTATGTGATCACAGTCTGATAATGATCATTCCCATAATTCATTAACAGTACTGCAAGTTAGATATTCAATTATTCATACAACCAGTGTAGAGAGAGCCAAATTGCAAAGCCTTCTGGTCGGGGACATGGGCTGTTCTGCCAGCTGCTGGAATAAAAAGGAGAGAAGGGGAAGAGGAAGAGATCCACACACCCCAGTCAATGTCACAAGCCCGGAGCAGGAAACTGGGGCCGGTGGGGGGTCGCTGGACCTCTACAGCCCACGACAGACAGTGGAGCCAGCACAGGCTGCCGCCAGGCTCGGCTGCTTCCAGAAACGTCTTTGACATTCCAGGATGTGTGCAGGCTTCTTCCGTCCTCTTCCCCAGGGCTGGGAAAGGGCATCCACCCACAGCTCCCGTTAGCAAAGCCAGCTGAGGGTAACTTCTGAAACCTGAACCCCAACGCAGGGCATCTGTCTCTCCTCCCTCTGGAGCTTCTCACGATGGGGTTTGTCTCTTGCTCCACAGAGGTGAGCCTCGATCTCCAGAGAACAGCTCCTCAGCTCTGCTCAGGGCTTCCGTCCCGCCGCGAGGCGTCCTGCTCCAGCGCCGCCTCCGTACTGGTCTCCACGCTGGGCTCTTCTCCCTCCGGCTCCTCTCCAGACTTGCGGGGCTCTTCTGCCACAAGCGTGGTCTTACTGGAGTGGCACCCCATCTCGGCGGGGCGCAGATGGCCAAAGGCGCTAAGGGATCCTGAGAAGAGAAAGGTCTGGGATGCAGATCCTTGGGTGCAGGGAGTTAAATAGGCCAGCCCACAGCCCCGTGGAAAAGAGTGGCCAGGTTTCCATGGCCACAGGGAGCCCTCACCCTCCACTGCAGGGTGGGCAGGGCTGGCAGGCGCTGCCCCCCCCCCCCACCTGGCTAGTTCCCATTCATTCCGCAGGAAGAATTCCTTTTGTTTAACCTTTAACTTCTTCACAAATCACGCCCCCCACCCTCACCTAGTTACCTGTAAACACCAACCCCCAGTCCTCTGGGGCAAAGCAAACCTGGCTCCTTGGCAACTAGCTGTGACCTCCCTCTGTGTCCCATTCACTTCCTGCGCGCACAGGCCCCCTGCCTGGACACCATTCTCTAGCCTGGAATGTCAGCTCCACCCAGTGCAGAACAAGGGGACTCCCGGGGTTACCCAAACATGGAAGTCTTGAAAAGAATCAGTAGACACTGCGTGCCCATTCCCTCATTCACAACCCTGAGAGGCAGGTTGTGTTATTGCATCCTCACTTAATAGAGGAAGACATTGAGATGTGAAGCGATTGAGTAACCTTCAGAAGTTCATGGAAAGTGCATGTTTTAATAAAGACCAAATAAATGTACATTTTAATTCCATTAACTCTCACAGTAGGCAGGAAATAGAAGTGGGTGGGAGGGCCTGGCTTTGTAGTGAGCACCTTAAGCCTCTGCCTGCATGCCCTGACCTTGGGGCCCTTTAGGGAGAGACCCAGCATATGGTCTCTTTCTCTCTGTTCCTCTCTTTGTAACTCTGCCTTTCAAATAAATAAAACATCTTAAAAAAAAATAGTGTGTGGGATTTGAACCATCACTACACTATCCTCACCTATTTTTTTAAATTTATTTGAAAAGCAGAGAGAGAGAGAGAGAGATCTTCCACCTACTTTTCTTTTGCCAAGTGACTGCAAATAGCCAGGACTAGGACAGACTGAAGCCAGGAGCCAGGAACTCCATCTGGGTTTCATACATCAATGGCAGAAAACCAATTACTTAGGCCATCATCTGTTGCCTCCCAGGCACATTAGCAGGAAGTTGGAATCAGAAGTGCAGTAGCCAGGACTCAAACTCAGTACTCAGTATGGGATACAGGCACCCCCAAGCAGTGGCTTAACCCACTGTGTCACAACACTTGCCCCTAACATTATCTATTTAAAGACCTCATTGCCTATCTTCCCACATCATCACAGATGTTACCCATTGGGTCTGCTGTCAATGGGGTTTTAATCTGGGACATGACACAATGGGTGAAAGTTTGGGAGAAGTAAATGATTTCTTAAGTAAAGACTTGCTGATTAAGCTATGAAACTGGAATGAGGAATTCCTGTGCTCTATACTGGACCCTTCTTTTTCTTTTTTAAAGATTTATTTATTTCAAAGCTAGAGATACATAGAGAGGAGAGACAGAGATCTTCCACCTGCTGGCTCATCCCCCCAAAATGGCCATAATGACCAGAGCTGGGCCAGTCAAAAACCAGGAGTTTTGTCCGGGTCCCCCACGTGGCTGCAGGGGCCCAAGGACTTGAGCCATCCTCTGCTGCTTTCCCAGGCACATTAGCAGGGAACTGTGTTAGTAAAATGGCGCAGTTTTATGTATGGTGTGATCTACACCCTGGACACCATCCTAGGCTCTGGCCCCCACTGTCATTGCTGGAAGCCAGGTGACCACATGGCCCAACCACCAGTGTCAGTTCCACCTCCATCCTAATGGAATTTAATGCTCCTACTTTCCTGCCCGCCCCCTGGCAAAGTTTTAAAAGGCCCTGTTTCTGAACACGTGGCTTTCTTTCTGTCTCTGGATCTCTCTTGATCTCTGATCTCTCTCACTCTCTCTCTCTTACGCTCTCCTTCTCCCTCTTGTTCTTCTTCACCCCTTCCCTCTGGTCTGTTAGGTTTCCCCAATAAACTCTTTCCCTTACTCCAGTGTTTGGTGTGTTTTGTGGCGGCCTTACAAACTGGATCATAAGTGGAGCAGCAGGGACTCGAACCGGCGCTCATATGAGATGCTGACGCTGCAGGCAGAGGCTTAGCCTTCTACGCTACAGCGCTGAGCCCTGCCCTGACCCCTATTTTTCTCTGTTCACCCAGCTTTCCTCTTCCTAACTCTAACAAGAGCCTGATGAATCTGACCCAGGCTCCTGGGAAGCAGGTCTGTGAAGTGGCTATCAAAGCAGCACAAATTTTCAAACTGCCCTGTGCCCGTATGCCACAGTCAATGATGCCATCAACTCCAGTTCACTTACAGAGGGCAAGTACATGTCAGCCTAGGGCACTTTATAGATCCTCTGGGACACCATGAGGAAGTGCTAGTAATCTCACATTAGAGCTGAAATTACTGAGTCCAGAGTGGTTAGACTATTTGCCCTAAGTTCAAGGGCGTGAACCTGATCAAGTAGCCAGCTCAGAATGCAAACCCAGACCCTGCTACCTCCAAAGCCTGGGAACTCTCCACTCTAATCCTCTTTCTGCCCCTGCCTCTGGTTAACACCATTCCCCTTCCCTGGACCTGAGCAATCAGGGATCTGAAAGAATGTGGTTTAAAAAAAAAAAGAAGAAAAACATAAATCACCTTTCTTTAAATGAGCTTCTTGCCAATCGGACCTGGCAGAGTGACAGTTAGGAAGACATTACGATGCTGTCTGTTTACCTCTCCCTTATAAATGCCAAAGTACACTTTTGGGGTGTCTGGGGGAGTGGAAGCTTCCATTTACCTTCCTGTTCAGGAGCCCTAATTAAGGCAAATCCTCTTATGAAGCCTCCAAATGCATCAGGCTTAACTCAAGTGATCTCAAGAGACAGTGAGTGGGAGCCCCAGGATCCAAGTGAGACTCTCTTGAGTGGGCTTGGGCAGTTTCAGGTGTGATTGGTGGTAAGGGATGGGAGAGGGGTGGTGTCTTTTGCCCGTTAACAATGGAAAAAACTTAGGCTTACCCGAGACTCCCCACACTCAGGACTTGTTATACAATTTGTGGAACCCTTGCTCAAAAAGAATTGAGGAGCCAGGGTTGTGGCATAGGAGGTTAAGTAGCTGCTTGCAAGGCCAGCATCCCATCCTGGAGTGCAGGTTCAAGACCCGGCTACTCCACTGCCCATCCAGTTCCCTGCTAATGCACCTGGGAAGGCAGTAGAAGAGGGCCCAAGTACTGGCCCAGCCCCAGCTGTTGCAGCCACTGGGGCGTGAATCAGTGGATGGAAGATTTCTTTCTTCCTCTCTGTCACTCTGCTTTTCAAATAAATAAATGTAAAAAACATTGAGAATGTCAGAACAGTGACGTCAGAACTTGCCAGGGCATCACCCAAGAAGCTGGCCTGACTCACACCTAATCTGTTACTCAGTTCCAGAAATGGATTTGCCTCTAATAAGGAATAGTACTTGCCAGATCCACAGGCTGGTTGGGCTTAGGGGACACTGTTAGGAACAGAGTGAAGCCTGAAGATAAGACAATGGGTGTGCAGCCCAAGGATGCATGGGATCTCAGTAGGAGACGTTCAGAACATTTTCAGCTCTCAACTGCTTCCTTAGCTATCACTGCCTTCAAAACGTGGCACATGCACTCACATGCCTCAACATAAAACACACACATACACAAGCTGGAAAAAAATATATCGACGATTACTGTATGTTGGCAATGTTATAGAGCAACTGAAACGCTCATGTGTTGTGGGTGGGACTGCAAACCGGCACAGGCAGCTGGGAAAAGAGAGCAGCTATTTCTTTTTTAATTTTTTTTAAATTTTTTATTTTTTGACAGGCAGAGTGGACAGTGAGAGAGAGAGACAGAGAGAAAGGTCTTCCTTTGCCATTGGTTCACCCTCCAATGGCCGCCGCGGCCGGCATGCTGCGGCCGCGCTGATCCGATGGCAGGAGCCAGGAGCCAGGTGCTTTTCCTGGTCTCCCATGGGGTGCAGGGCCCAAGCACTTGGGCCATCCTCCACTGCACTCCCTGGCCAAAGCAGAGAGCTGGCCTGGAAGAGGGGCAACCGGGACAGAATCCGGCGCCCCGACCGGGACTAGAACCCGGTGTGCCGGCACCGCTAGGCGGAGGACTAGCCTAGTGAGCCGCGGCGCCGGCCTTTTTTTTTTAATTTTTTGACAGGCAGAGTGGACAGTGAGAGAGAGAGAGACAGAGAGAGAGAAAGGTCTTCCTTTGCCGTTGGTTCACCCTCCAATGGCCGCTGCGGCCAGCGCACCGCCCCAGCGCACCGCGCTGATCCGATGGCAGGAGCCAGGAGCCAGGTACTTATCCTGGTCTCCCATGGGGTGCAGAGCCCAAGCACTTGGGCCAGCCTCCACTGCACTCCCTGGCCACAGCAGAGAGCTGGCCTGGAAGAGGGGCAACTGGGACAGAATCTGGCGCCCCGACCGGGACTAGAGCCCGGTGTGCCGGCGCCGCAAGGCGGAGGATTAGCCTAGTGAGCCGCAGCGCCGGCCGAGAGCAGCTGTTTCTTATAAGATTAAACGTAATTCACCATAGGTACTGACCTTCAGCAGCCATCTCAGAGAACACCAGAGACTGAGTAACTTACACAACAGGTGTGTTTTTTTCCCACGGTTCCGAAGGCTGGGAGGGGCTGGCAAATTTGCTTTCCAGGCTTCCAGATGGTTACTTTCTCACTGTGTCCTTACGTGGCCCTTCCTGGGTGTTCTGGGAAAGCGAGACCTCTGTTACCTTATCTTCTTCTTATAAGGACACCAATGCTACTAGATAAGAGAGTCCCAACCTTGTGCTCTCAATTAACCTTAATGACCTCCAAATACACTGACTCTCATGGCTGGGGCTTCAACACCTGAGTGGGGGGAGGGGACAAAACTCAGCCCATAACATCACCCAAAGGGATGGAAAACCTCTGTTCAGACAGAGGTCTGTGCGTGAATATTCAGAGCAACACCAATCATAATCAAAAGCTGGAAACCACCCAAATGTGATTGATAAACAAACTGTGGTACATGGGTACAATGGAATACTACCTAGCAATAAGGATGAATTAACTCCTGATACAGGCAACAAGTCAGGCGCCATTCAAGTGCATTATATTGAGTGAAAGACGTCAGCATCAAAAGGTTTGATTGCATTTATATGATATTCTCAAAAGACAGAAGTTCATGGACAGGGCACAGACTGGTGGCAACACTAGAAAATGATAGCATGAGGGAGTTCCTGGTTTGATACACCTGCTCTGTTTCCTAATTATGGTGGTAATTACACAATCCTGTAAGTGTGTTAAAGCTCATAGAACTGTATACCCAAAATGTTGTGTGTATTGTATGCTAAGGATATTTTAAACGTTTGAAAGATCACCCAAGGGGCTGGCACTGTGGCGCAGTGGGTTAAAGCCCTGGCCTGAAGCGCCAGCATCCCATATGGTTGCCGGTTCCAGTCCCGGCTGCTCCTCTTCCGATCTAGCTCTCTGCTGTGGCCTGGGAAAGCAGTGGAGGATGGTCCAAGCGCTTGGGCCCCTGCACCCACATGGGAGACCCTGAGGAAGCTCCTGGCTCCTGGCTTCAGATCAGTGCAGCTCCAGCCATTGTGGCCATCTGGGGAGAGAACCAGATGATGGAAGACCTCTCTCTCTGCCTCTACCTCTCTCTGTAACTGTCTTTCAAATAAATAAAATAAATTTTAAAAGATCACCCAAACACACGAAAAAGAAAAAAGCAATTTCCAGGAGCCCAAGAGCTTATTTGCCAGCTCCTCTCCTGCTTCCCTCCTCTCCTGCTTCTCACGCATGCACTCAAACACAAACACCTGCCTCTGATTTAGCCCAACAACTCTTTATTGACCCAGGTGGTTCAAGGTCCCATCTGGAGTGTTGTGCAGTTCACAAAACCTGGAGGCAGAGAGGGCACCTGTGCGGAGGAGCGCCTGCAGCTCTGACCATAGGTCAGAAGAGTAGCTGATCCAAGGCACACTGCAGAAGGGGATTGGAGGGCACAGGCCGCCCAACCTCCCCCTCCCCCCCACCTCTGGTCTCTCCCAGGACTCCCGTTGGCCAAATCCAACTGAAGCCAGTGGCATAGGAGTCTTTGGCACTGCACATTTCAGTCAACTTCCCAGAGCCCAGAGCAGATGAACAGAGAGCAGATGTGGCGAGGCTGAGAGAAGACATCAGCACAAACCACAGAGGTCCTGCTCTCCAAGGGCACAGAAGCTGTTGTGGGAGGCAGGATCCTTGCAGCAAATTAGACCACGGGAATGCAGTAAGTGCTTCCATATGAAGAATAAGGCACAAGGGAAGTGGCGGGCAAGGGAAGGCTACTTAGAGTAGGCCGCACTTGAGCTGGACCTGGAAGGATGAGTAGAATTTTAACTGGTAGCCTGGGAAGGACATCATGGCCAAGGTGAAATATAAACCCCTCCCTGGGAGTGCACTCAAATTCAACATCTATAGAAAGGCAGCTCAGGTCAGCACTGTGGCGCAGCGGGTTAAAGCTCCAGCCTGCAGCACTGGCACCCCATATGGGTGCCAGTTCAAGTCCTGGCTGCTCCACTTCCTGTCCATCTCCCTGCTAATGTGCCTTGGGAAGCAGTGGAGGATGGCCCAAGTCCTTCCGTCCCTGCACTCACATGGGAGACCAGGAAGAAGCTCAGATCTTCATTTGGAGAATGAACCAGTAGATGGAAGACCTCTCTCTGTCTCTATCTCTCTTTGTAACTCTTTCAAATAAATAAAATAAATCTTAAAAAAAAAAAAAAAAAAACAAAGGCAGTTCATTGCCATGGCTCGATGTATGAGAGGGCTGTGGGATGGAGCCCTGACATGGCAGTGCACAGGCTGTGTGGCCTTCAGCCAGTGCCTTAACATCTCTGACTCTGCTCCCTCCTCTGTAATAACTACTGCTGGGGACTTTGGGGAAAAGCCACTAGACAGCATCAGGGTCATCCTGCTGTTATACTCCTTAACAGCTAGGAGGATTTGCGGGGTAACCCAGGACACACTGAGACCCCAAAAGTCAAACTGCCATTCAGTCCACAAGGCCGGCCTCACAAGACCAAGCATCTACGTGCCCCTGCCTCCTCGACAAGCGTCCCGACAGCATCCTGCCTGCGCCCCTGTTTCCAGCTCCATCCAGCCTGGACGATGGAGGATCCTGACTCCAATGGGACATCCCTCCAGAAGAGAAACTCACCCCTTTCCTACCTAGAACTGGGTCGCATTTCACCATAGAGTCCTGCGTTGCTCAACCACAGGGACGCTTCTGAGAAACGCACTGTTGGGCAACTTCTTCGTCGCATGATCCTCACAAACTGTGCTGACACCAAGTCGGGAAGCCACACCATCACAGGCAAGATAAACTCACCCACGTACGCGTCCGTAGCCAAACAGACTGCCGTTATGCAACAACACAGCTTTACGAACTTCTTAAAAAAGCAAAAACAGGGGCCGGCATTGTGGCGTAGCAGGTAAAGCTACCACCTGTGATAGATGCAGCCCATGTAGGCACCAGTTCGTGTCTCAGCTGCTCCACTTCCAATCCAGCTTCCTGCTAATGCACCTGGGAAAGCAGCAGAAGACGGCCCAAGTGCTCGGGCCCTGCACCCATATGGGAGACCTGGAAGAAGCTCCTGGCTCCTGGCTTTGGCCTGGCCTAGTGCTAATGATTGCAGCCATCTGGGGAGTGAACCAGCATATGAAAGTGCACTGGTGTGTTCTCTTTCTCTCTCTCTCTCTCTCTCTCTCTCTCTCTGTAACTCTTCCAAATAAATAAACAAATCTTAAAAAGGCAAAACAAAGGGGCAGGCATTGGGACTCAGTGGGCTAAATCGCCCCTTGGGACACCTGCATCCCATATGAAAGTGCCTGGCTTGAGTCCTAACTGCTCTGTGCTTTGTATCCAGCTTCCTGCTAATGTGCCTGGGAGGCAGTGGATGATAGCGCAAGTATTTGTGTTCCTGTCACCTATGTAGGAGACCTGAAAGAAGTTCCTGTTCCTGACTGGCACAGCACAGGCTACTGTGGGCATTTGGGGAGTGAGCCAGCAGGTGGAAGAGCTCCACCTCTCCCTCTCTGTGTCACTCTGCCTTTCAAATATACCTTAAAAAAAAGAAAGAAAAACCAAAATTCTCCCTTTGCAAGAAACGACAGAATAAGAGTAAAAGGGATAAAAGCCATCCTGTCGTGCATACACACACACACACACACACACGTGCAGCACACAGAAGGTGCACACACACATCCTGTCCAGCACACAGAAGGTGCACACACACATCCTGTCCAGCACACAGAAGGTGCATGGCACACAGCAGCAAAGCGCTCCAGGGCGTGTGCTCTGGAATCAGGCGATGCAGATGGAAGTCCTGGGGCCCCACTTGCTGACTCTTCCATCGTGAACAGCTTACTTAAACACTTGTAAGTCCTGCTTGCTTTTTTAAGACTTATTTTTCTGAAAGAGTTACACCAAGAGAGAAAAACTTCTCTCTTCTGGTTCACTCCACAAATGGCCCCAACAACCAGGGCTGGGCCAGACTGAAGCCAGGAGCCTGGAACTCCATCGGGGTCTCCTCCATGGGTGGCAGGGGCCCGAGCACTCCAGCCATCTACAGCTGCCTTCCTGGGTGCATTAGCAGGGAGTTGGATTGTAAAGGGAGCAGCCAGGACTTGAACCGACACCCAAGTGAGACGCTGGCATCACAGGTGGCAATTTAACCTGCTCCACCACAACACTGGCAAGTCATACTTTCTTCAATGATAAAATGGGAAAAGCAATCGCGTCTGCTTCATACAGTCATGTTAGGATTAGAATCAGTCAACCCCAAATTCTTAGTGCCTTTCACCTTATCATTTTTTAGGATTATGATTATTATGCAAGCTGCGGCCCCTTGGAGAGCCCAGGATCTACAGGAAAAACCAACCTATTGATAACTCTGCAGTTTCCAAAACACTGCAGTTAGCAGAATGAGAAAAATGCCAGGAGAGGGCAGAGGAGAAAGTCGTTAGAGAGCTTTTCACCTCCGCAGGTGCTGCCAGGCACGTCGGAACACAGGAGGTCGTAATCCAGGACTTTGCCCCGGCATGCGCTAGGGCACAGTGGTGGGGACTGAGTTATTACAAGCACGGTCTGGAAGTGACTCAGAGACACATTAAAATAAAAGAATGGGAAGTTGCTTGCCAGCTGGTACTTGCCATGGGCTGTCAGCACTTCTCTGACCGATTCACCTTCACCAGGGCAGGCGGGGGCAGAGGCAGCTGGCCCCTGTCAGACACCCCTCTCCCTATCTCCTGCCCTCCCAGGCATTGCCCCCAGGAGACTCCTTATCCTCTGCCCTTGACGTTCACTTCGACCAGATTACATTAGGACAAAGCGTCCAGAGATTCAGCAGGCACAGGCACAGGCACAGGGTGAGCCAGGACAATCAGAGCGCTGATCCTGGCGGGAGTCTGGGATGGTCCAGGCTTCCCTTTTGTAGATCGCTTCTGATTTCCACTGGTGATGGAGATTTTCCAAGGATGTCAGAGAGAGCCGGCCAGGATCACAAGAAGGCGCTCCCCATATAACCTGGCGACCCTCACAGCCTATCATCAGGCGCCTCTGCCCTCAGTGCCCTATAAATAATTTTTTTAATGAATCCTGTATTTATCCCAGAAAGAGCTCCATTATATCACATTGCATTTGTGTGTGTGTGTGTGTGAACTTCATGAAATGTGA